TAAAGCAGAGGCTTTGTAATTCTTAGGTCCTAAATATAAGTCTATTATAAAACAAAGAGAGGGTTCTGAGGAGAGGATAGGACCTTCATTAGGAATTGTACAAGGTTCCAGCTGCACGGTCCCTATTGTAGCTGGACGAATCCATTTTCCGACATGTTGTCTTCTTTGACCGTCGTACCCCTCATTTTATAGTTGCGTCGTTTCTTTGGACAATGTTGAACAGTGTGCTTAGGTTCTCAGCAATATAAACATAATCCTTCTTCACGACGACGAATCTTTTCTTGCTCAGTTAGAGGTTTAAAACGTACCGCGTCAATTTGCATGTCTTCTACTTCCGAATGTACGTTTGGCAAAGATGTTGATGTTGCCATTGAGTAATAACGTTGAGGTTCTCGTGAATGATTCTCAGATCGAAATTCAAAAAGTCGATTATCACATTTTACCGCAAAATCGATTGCTTGACTCAAAGTTTGAGGATCAGGTAAGTTGAGCATCAATTTCTTTACTTCGTATTGCAATCCATAAAGAAATTGACTGATGAGTGCAGCATCATCCCACTTGATGTCAATTGCAAGTTGTCGAAATTGTGAAGCATATACTGTTACTGAGCGATTTCCTTGTCGCAGAATTTGGATCTTATTTGTTGCAACACGAGTTACATCGTGTTCACCATACATAGATCGAAACTCCACCAAAAAAGCTTCCAAATTGTCCAATATTAGATTTCGTTGTTCAAGAAAAGACGAAAACCTCGATAATGCAGAACCAGAAAGTAGAGTGCCAATAAACCTGACTTGTGATCCTGGAGTTGGATAGCTTTGCGGTTGAAGTTCAATTGCCAATTGTACTTGATTGATGAACCCTCGAAACTTTGATCTCGTACCATCAAATTTCTCAGGTAAGGCAATTCTTGGTTCTCTAGTGCTTATAGGGTGTTGTACAATTGGAGAAGGAACGTGATTTGTTGTAGATGTTGAAGCAGCTCCGATCATCTCTATATCTCCACTTTCTGCTATTCTTGTTCTTTCCTGTGTTGGTGAATTGAGTTGATGCATCGCAAGCATTAACTCCCTCATTTGCTCTTGCATTTGTGCCATTGCACTCTTCATTTCAACAAGCTCTGCCATAATGACACTAAAAAGAAAAATTTGTTTGATATTGCTCAAGACAAAAGAAAAGAAAGACTTGATAACAAAGAAGATACTAAGAACAATATCAGTTTAGAAGTGGGTAATCCGCAAACTTCTAATACGCTTATGTCTTGTCAAGAGAAAGGGGTAATCCACTCTTACTCAAGAAAAAACAAAGCTCTGATATTGTAAGTGTACTCTTGTCAATCTGTCAAGGACAAAGACTCGATGAGGAAAAATATACACCAAAAGGCTATCTCGATATAATAAGTCAAAATATAAACAAGTAGGTATATTAAAAGGAATCTGGAATGGCTATTGCCACAAGACAAGAAACTAAAGACTCTTGAACCTGGACTAGAAGCAAGAAAGGAGTTGACAAGAGTGAAGAAGCCTTCACTCTTGTCTCTATATATACTATCTAACTAGGGGCTACGTGGCGACGTTCTATAGGACCTCCAATATGTGTTGACTTTGTAGGACACATGCCTTGACTTACAAGGCAAGTTTTTCTACGTGTGGGCCACATAGTTAGCTTGATCTTCAAGCTAACAACATGTGTGGTACATGGCCAACTTGTTGACCACGTTTCTAATCCAAAAAGTCAATTAAAGACACCTATGAAGTCAAAGCAACGTCTAGGAAGTTTCTAGGAAGCTTCTATATTAAATATTATACAATTAACTTACTTTTATCTACTTTTACTTACTTCTACCTATTTCTATATGTAATTATTAGCTTACATGATTATGGCCGTGACATCATGGTATTATTAATAATTTTTTTGAAGGAAGTTACGAATGTCAACAATGATCAAATAACAAGGTAGTCTTCTTCTTTTAAATTGAGATATTAATAGCTAAGATGACCTATCAACTACCTTCAAAGGAAACTAAGATCAAAGTATATAACAAATATAATTTATTGCATCTTGGACTTCATCAACATGTAATCATTGCTCCTCATGGAACTCATTCCTAAAAAAGTAAGTAATATCACAAACATACATATTTACTCCAATAGTTATCTAAATAATATGAATAGGTAGAAGTAGATTAAAGTAGATAAATTTAATAATATCTCATAAAAAAACTTCTTAAAAGCTTCATAGATGCAACTTTGACTTTACATATATTTATCATTGATTGGTAGGTTAAAAACTTTGCCAACAAGTTAGCCACATATTGTACATGTTGATAGCTTGTGGTACAAGCTAATTATGTGGCATGCATATAGGAAACTTGCTTTACAAATTAAAACATGTATCTCACAAGTTGGACATGTGTCAAAGGTTCTATAGAACATCACTATGTAGCTCTTAGTTAGATAGTATATTTAGAGTCAAGAGTGAATCCTTCTTCATTCTTATCAACACCTTTCTAATTCTTAGTCTTATTTCAAAACTTTCTAGTCTCCTTGTCTTTGACAATAGCTATTTTTATTTAATATTATACCATCTTTGAATGATTTTCTAGTCTTTTCAAGTGACACAAGAGTGTATTGATCTTTTAGTTTTTTGAAATTCATGTCTTTGATACATGGGTCACAAACAATCCTCTATAGGTATTAATTCTTGATTTTTTGTAATAATTTTTGCTACAAACTACTCTTAATTTTTTTTTTATGAAGATGCCTATATTAGTTATTTTTCTTATCTATTTTATTTTGCCTCATTTATGGTCATACAATGTAAATAGAAGTCTATTTTGTAAAAAGGCAATATTAGCACTTATTAGTTTTACTACCTCTTTGATTATTATCAATACTTGTAAGGTAATTTTTTTACAATATTTTTAATTAAATCCTTTTATAACACAATCCTTCATTTTCTCTTTTACCTAATAATCATGTTATAATATGACAACATCATTGAAAAGCAAGAATAGAACTTGTCATAGCTCTTAAAAAAAGTGTTATTATCAATTTAATTCTTACAATGAAAGAAGAAGACCTATTAAAAGCAATAATTGTGATAACTTTGACTAACATCAAAAAAAGGTAATAGTAGTAGCTTTAGATAATATCCTGTCTATTTTATTAAGGTGACTTTATTTGCAATGAAAGAACCACTATCATTTAAGTCATTCCAAATGTTTATTAAATATTTAGAGAATAAGTATAGAGATTTAAGACATAATAAAATGCAACGTATTTAAGACTTTCAAAGTGAAAATGAAGATTTGTAGCATGAAAACTAATTTAACATTTTTTTTTTGTCACCTTAAAAGAATCCATCAGTCAATGTAATGATTGGTGGTCAACTACTAAAATCCTTTTATTTTTATAATATAATATTAGAATTAAAAAATTATCTATACTATTTTTAAATGTATTCTTTCATACTTGACTTATATAATCTTACTAGAATAACTTGATTATACAACTAAAAATTGTTCTATATCATTTTTTTATTACAAAAATATAGTATGAATAACCAAATTACTTTAATTAATATATAATAGGTAATGCTTATCTAAAATTGGTCTTTTTAAAATAGATAAAATAAGAAAGCTAATTTCTAATTTGATAAATATCTTTTCTTATATTTCTTTGTAAATTTATATGTGGTAATTTTCTATCAACATTGTCAATGGTTTGACAATAGTACATGCTTTTAAATTTTAATTAGTCAAGCTTAAAACTATCTTCAACATTTAACATTTGTTAATATTCAAAGTATCTATTGACATTTGCAGGCATTTAGAATGAAGTTGTGGCAAATGATTTATTTTCTTTAACACCTAATTGACTTAAATAGATCATATGTTTTAAGTTTTTTAATATCAAATTGGAATTTCATGGTATTTTTAACAAAGTCATAAAGTACTAAATATATTGATAGGGTCAGTGACTTCAAGTATTTGCACACCAATTTATTTTAGTGTGGCAATTGACATTTTAGTTATCACCACAAATCTACTTCATCTAATTGCTGTTACCGGTCATCTTCCCCAACGACACTGTAGTTGCAGCATATTTTCCATTAGAAAGAAATTCACTAACTTTTCATCCAACCAGTGTAGGACATAGTTCTTCAGCACAATCTTCTCCAAGTCGCTGTAACGGAGCGGTTACCAATTGGTTGACATAGTCGATGACTTAATTGAGTAGATTGTGATCTATTACCAAGAGAATTTTTTTTCATTTCAAGAAGTTTTGTGTATGATTCTCGCATGATTTGATAAAGTTCAAGTCGACAACAGTGATGACAGTATAGGTATATGCTGCGAAGTAAAGATATTTGAACAAATTTGACATCGATGGGAATGGGAAGAGAATTATGTCCTCTGTTGTATTTATTAGTGTTACTGTTGTACACCAGTGTGAGATTGGTATCTGCTGACAAGAGGGAGATATTAACCGCAAATGGCTATGTTGGATTTCGAATAATTCGGGTCACTTCGTGTTTAACAGCAGGCTACGGAATTGCAGGACGTATTCGATATGACTAATGGTGTCGCAGTTTTTCGTTAACTCAACGATAATTGCACAGCAGCAAGAGATGTACAGGTTGCAACAGCCATACAAGAAAGCCTAATCATTAGACTAACTACCGCCGTGATTATAAATTACCGATAGGTTTGAATCTCTAGAAGTTTGCTCAGGGGTATGACTTGAGGATAGATTTGTGGTCGCTTGTGTGCGCATTTAGAGAAACTGCACAAGTGACATGGAATCTGACAGTGGAAACTCAATCTTATTGCTGTAGCTAGGTTTTTCACTGGGCGGTCACGGAGCAAATTGTAACATAATGGACATTATTTCCCGGGAAAAGCGGTGTCATTTACTCCTAGACCATCCCGCACAGAATCACGAACCCATTGACCAACATCAAAAACATATTTTCGGGTCCAGTCTTGCAAGAGTGTCTGATTCACAGTATCTATCGCGAAAAATAAGATAGTAACATTTATAAATACATTCTCAGCGAGTATATCTTAAGGCAAAGACATGAGAAAGTTACAGAGAGTTTAGGCAGACTGCTCAAGCTCATCAGGGGAGTAGTTGTTGGTGGACACACCAGCATAGTTAACTTTATCAAATCTCACAACTACGGGATATCTTACTCCTGGTGCCTGCAGTCAAGACAGTTAAAAAATATGAGATACTAGAGTACATTCGTTTCACAACCCTAATTCACATCAGAATGTTGCTACCTCACCCCGTCCACCCGACTCTACATTACGCCCCGCTCACTCACGCAAGGATCCCATAATTCTTCGGTAATCCCAGGCTGTGATGAACAGGCAATTGCAGAAAGTCCAGGCTGTGCAGCCGAGTGGGTTCGAGGCAGCAGATCACATCCGATCTTGCCACCAGTGCCATTCGGTGCATGTATAATGCAGCGGGCCATCAGGCAGCCTCAACTAAATTTAAAAAAAGAATTCTCAGACACCAGCAGTGTGAGACATGTATTCAGACGTAATGTTCCAGGCTGATTCAGACATGAGGCGGAAGACTCACCTGATCAACGGCGACAACCTTGCCTGTGTCGTTGAACCAGTATGACTCTCGCCTGAGAACCTTCACAATGCTGCCCCTCTTAGGTCCAATGACAGGCTGGGCCTCCTTCTTCGCAGGGGGGGCTGCGGCGGCTTCCTCCGCTCTCACAACCAACCTTGCAGAGTTGCGCCCCGATACCACCATGCTGAGGGGTCTGCACGGCACCTTGGTGGAGAACATGGAAGAGGTAGCCGCACCTGTGGCGGCCACAGCGTTGGACGCAACCCCCACAAAGCTGGACACAGCGGTCGACATGGCTACGGAGGTAGGCTGTGAAAAGCGAGATGAGCAGCAACACCTGCTGCTGCTGCTGCAGGATGCTGAAGGGGAAAGAGGTAGGGAAGGAGGGAGGCGCAGATGCTACGATGCAGCAACCGGTACACACACACACTCTCACTGTGCAAGTGCAATTGAGCAGGTGTTTGTTTAACTGAAGAGCGCGGGATTGCAGGGACCCGGAGCGTGGCGGACATAGGTGTCTTATCTCCCCATGCTTGAAGGCCCGCCTCCTCATTGGCCTCGCCCTGGATAACCCCATCCATCCTCTCTCGCCATGCATCCTCTCATTCTTCATCCATTCATATGTTCATTCATCCATTTCCCTGCCTCCCTGCCTGGCATCGAGCCAGCCACGAACTCATGTTGTTTGTTTTAGTGCCGGGCCTGTTGCACCAGACCATCTCTCTCTCTCTCTCTCTCTCTCTCTCTCTCTACCATTGAAGCTATTGATGGTTTACTTGATGAATTAGTGTATAAAATGTGTTCTAGGTGCATGAAATTATCATTAAACAATTTAATATATATCTCAGTAGTAAATGCTATTGATCCTATTACTCTCCAGTATTATCAATTGAAATATGCAATAAGCCATTTACATGAACATCCATCATAATCATAACAATAATTCAATATATATATATATATATATATATTTATCCACATCAAATTTTTGAGGTGTATGCACAAAATAAAGATATACTATGCAAAAGTTTCGAGGTAATATAGAATTTTTAATTTTTTTAGGAATGAATGTCAATTGTATAAAAAAAAGTAGAACACAGAACCTCGGAATGACAATTTTGGAGCATAATCAACGGCCTGGTTTTTACTATTATAAAATGTTGATTTATATAAAATAATTAAAAATATAATTTAGGTAAAAAGAACTGTTTATTATGGTAGATTGTAGGAAAATGTGGCATAATCACATAAGCATGTAAAAGGCCAAAAATATTCATCAATAGTGTGCACATAGAGTACCTTTAGCCCCAATGACGCATGAATAGATGTTTTTTTTCAATCTGTTTAGATATTACTAGTAAAAACAATATTAGCAAAACATGGTTGTATAAGAAGAATTGATATGTCGAAAGTCTATCACTGTGAAGAGTATATATATATATATATAAAAGTGTGTTTTAAGCCAGATAAATACAACAAACAATATCATGATTTTATTTATTTATTTATATATATTTTAAAACCATACGAAATAATAAGTTTAAAAAAGAGTTTAAATGACTAAAAATTTGAAGAGTTTTATACAAGACATGATATATCTTGTGGTGTGAAATAATGATTTGTATGAACTGTTTTGTTTTGTTTTGTTATTTTTTTGTGTTAAGCCTTGCTTTCTTAAAAACAGTCTGCTAATTTTCATCAGTAGTTGTCAAGATTGTTAATTATTTGGGTGTTAATTATATGAGGCTGTACCCAAAAAGATACTAGATATTATAAACAATTAAGTTCATGCACTAAAAAAAGTGCATAGTCACTTGCAAAAGTATCACTTGTACTTGAAGCAGTTGAATGGAATGACAATACAACTGTATCTTGTAGCCACATTTTAAGCCAGTGAAAATGGTACTTCTAGATAAACTATTCAAATACAAGGAGGAAGCTGCCCCCACATCCTCATCTAACTCAAAAGGTCTTTACCTTGATGGTGATAAATCAAATTCTTCCTTACATAGATTAAACTGGAGTGGGGTGCAAATTAATAGTGCTACACTAAATGCACTTGTTCAGCTCCAAACTTCTAGAGGCTGGATTCTTTTGAATTTGTCCTCCTGCTGAAGACTCAGCATACTTTTAGTTGGCAACAAGGTGATGGTGGTACAGATCTTCCAACTTTGCTGAATTGTAACAAGGATGTTCCACCTCACCTCATGTGTGCAACTTTACACAACAAGGTGAACTAATGTCTGCTATTACAGGCTCTACAAATCCCCATGTTGATAGTGAGCCATTACAGCCATGTCAATGAGAAACTTGTGAGGTGTTCATCATGTTGGTCTCAGTCTCAAGAGCATGGAAGCAGGAAAGAGTCATAAGGTGAATTAATTTGGTGGAATTTTTTTGAACTCCTTGTTTGCATTTTCTTCATCTAAATCACAAAATAATGGTGAAGATGTTTTATACAGCAGCTTTAACACAAACTATGGTGACATCCTTAATGTGCCTCCTAATTCCAGCTAACTCACCTCTTTCGAGCACCTGTAGAAAGATCAACTCAATAAAATTAAAAACTTTAAAGGAAATGAGGAAGTTCATGTCAATGAATTAATTTAAATTAAAAGGCAAATTTTCCAATTATTGAAAGAACAAAAGGATTAGTCTCATGAAGTAGATCAAATGCACCAGTGTTGTGTTGCAAATAAAGAAATTTTCATAGAATATGTGTTAGTGCTACAAGTGGTTTGATGGAAATATGTATACATACATATAACTTTAATGTGGTTTTTGATTCTTTAGAATTTTCAAGTGTCATAATAGTACAACAGTATGTCAAAATTGATGTAAGTATAAAAATTATATAAATCAAGTCAATGTAGTAAAATATTTGTTTATTTATGATACACACTTTTACAAGCAAATAGAATTGCAACTATTTTAATGTTCCTCAGAATAGAAAATACTAGAGTTGCATCAAAGTTCTTAAAAATTTGCACTTGAGTCTAAAAGGATTGATTATCAATTAGAATTTTGTATAAAGTTTTAAAGAAGAAACAAGTGTAATAAATTACTTTCAAGTAATAGAAAGATAATTTCTACAATTGTGTATAATATTGTATTAGATGTGGTTAATAGAAATCAAAACAATGATGGGATTGAAATAATGGGTATAGAAAAATAAATAAATAAATATCAATGAATATATAAATAATTTATTTATTTAAGACCATAATATTTTTTAAAAAAAAGAGTATTAAAGAATTTATTATTGATGATCCTAATTATTAAAAAAAATGATTTCAAATATTTAAATTTAAAAGGTTTAAAGATTAGAATTTAAAGATAAGAAACAAGATAAATCTGAAAAGGATCAAGAATGTTTTACTTAAAAAAAAAGTAATGGCTTAAAGATTTTTATTTGAGAATTAGAAGAAATTTCATATTTTTTATAGGAATAGAAATAATATTTAGTATTAAAGTTTTTAAATAGTTGACATTTGTAAGTAGAAAAAAGAAGGATGTTATTGAAGGTGGTTACTTGAACTAAAATTTGTAGATAAAAAGGAGAAATTTTCTTGTTAAAGTTATATACATGAGTTTTTCTTAAATATTATTTTACTTTTAAAAAATTTAAAATAAATTTATGAGTTTTTATTTTATCATCTTCATTTAAAATTTTATTTTTTAGAATGCATTAAATCTCAAACATTAGAAAAAATAATAATATTAAAATAAAATAAAATAACTAGATGAATTACTAACTGTTGTTATTAACTAAATAGAATATAAGTTTGTTATTTAAGTAAAACATTGTTAAAGTAACAATATTGTAAATATGGATTGCTAATTTTCTTGGTAAATAATCAATAGTACATTATTAATATTGTTGTAATACTTTATTCACATGTTCTATTTATTTATCGATTTGAGGATAAAAAATTTAAGATAGTTTGATGTTATCCTTTATTATAATAAAGTTTGATAATAAGTTATATTTAACTAAAAATTATCCTATATAATTTTGATACAAATTAAAATAGTTTTTTAAATATAATATTATCTAAATATCTATAATTTTAATAGATATTACTTAAACAAAGTCCAGGATTTTAGGGTTTTAAAGTTTTATATTGTACTAAATGTTTTAATTTGATTACATGATGCACCTTTACAAAAATAGAGTTGTAAGAATTTGTGATTGAAAGGTTTTTAATTTTTTTTTAAAAAACAAATGACGAAAATAATTTTGGAATATGCAAACATTGAAGAAATCCACAGAATTAATGATGAGTCTTTGCTTAAGAACAAATGTCATAAGATTAAATATGTTTTGACAATTTTCTATATTTATATCTACTAAAAAAAATTTAGAAAAAAATTCTAAAGCTGTCTGCTATGTAAATTATCTTACTATTGAAAAATTAAAGTGCTTAAAGATAATTTAATTGTGCTTTGTATTACAAAATATATAAATTTTATTTATAGTAGATATAATGTAATATAAATAATCTTTAATGTACTATAAATAATGTACTATAAATAGTCTTTAATGTCATAATTATTGAAACATCATATGGGTTATTGATAACATCTAAAATAATAGCGTCTAATAAGCTCCTTAAACAAGTTCTATAACAAATAACATTGTGGATTGGAATTATTGGTTTTACGGCTTAAAAAATGCAACTGCTTAAATTTCATAAAGAAGGTTTGTTATTGATCTTATGCAATGCTTTCTTCTTTCAGTATGAGATAGAAGTATCTAGCCATGGCATTTAATAATATATGTTAATTACTAAGATAATATTTTATATTCAAAAAATATATATATAATATATGATTTAATAAATTTGACAATAATCTAAGATACATGTTAATGTAAAATACACAATTTTATTATTATTAATATAAATTGTGAATGGATTAATATCATGTAAACAATAATGCCATTCTTGAAATAGATCTACAATAGCAAGAAGTTCTTATTGTCTATCTCATCACTAATTTTGATTGGTGAGAATTTTTCTTAATAAAAATCAATAGATACAAGTTTATTATATGTCCCTATTTGTAATAAAATGACATCCAATGCATATTTTAGTATATTTCTTATTTTTAAAAAAACCAATTTCAAGAATTATACATGACATATAATAGAAGTTAAAGTTTTTTTATTTTTTTTTTTATATTTTTTTTTTTCTGAAAATCTAAAATGTTACTTTCATATTTAGGTTTTTGTAAGTTATTTTTAAAATTTAAGAAACTACTTAATATATATATATATATATATATATATATATATATATTAAATAATATATTTTTAATACAAAAATTAAACATTGCATTAAAATTCTTTGATTTGTCTAATCTATACCTTTTTAAATGGTCATTTGAATTGATTTATTTCAAACAATTCACTTAATTTCTGTAAAGTGTATATATATATATAATTTTTTTAAAAGTATATAGTATAGTATTTACAGTTTTGCTACACAAAGTATTTTTTTTAATATTCTTTTATACTCTTGAAATATATATATATATATATATATATATATAAAGGTAGTTTTAAAAATATATGATAATATTATCTAAAAATATATAGAAATTATCTTTTATTAATTTTTTAATTACAATTGGATCATTTGCTATGATTGTGTCCTTGAATAAAATCTAATTTGTGTCTAAAGAGCATTTTTAATGTTTAATAAGAAAGATATTTTCTACCAAATATGATTCAATCTATTTATATTTATTTATTTACATAATATAAGCATTGGTTATAAAACAATTAGTGAAAATAGTAGAAAAAAGACTATTTATTTATCTAATTAAAAATGTACTCAAAATTTTAAGTATATGGTTAAAAAAATATAATTTAGTATATATTTGATAATATAAAGATTTTACTGTTTTTTATCTTTTTTGTTTTTGATATCAAGACATAATTATAAAGAATTATATTGGTTTAATTATATAATTTAAAATAGATGTTATATTGTGAAACCAAGTTGCTACAATGCATTATTTTAAACTTCTACTATTGAATATCCTATTTTAAATCCTTGTTAAAATTTTTTACTTTTTAAAATCTTTTAAATGATTATTGGTATTTTTGTGAGTTTAACCATAATATCAAGTAGAATGAAATTAATATAGTGATTAATAGTATAGTAGAACCTTTAAAAGCATTGACATATAAGAAGATACAACAATATATTATTTTTAATGAATTGTAGAAGAAGACCAAAATGTATAAGTAGTAGTCATAGCACAAAATCTTAATAGATACTAATATTTTTACTTAAATCTTTTAAATAAATTTAAATTTAAAAAAATTCTAAGATTATACCAAAATAATATTTATCTTAATACAAAACATAAACGAGTTTTTATTATAAACAAGAGTATACTCTAAATTGATATTTTTATTGTTGTAGCATAAACAAAGTAATTATGTAACTTAGTTAGTTCATTGTTAGTAGAGTAATAAGAATATAATCATGACTAATATCTTTAAATTCCTAATATAAATAATATGTAATTTTACATTAACTTTGGTATATTCTTTGACATACAAATTTATATATTAAACTAGTAAATTTATTATTATTATATAAAGAAGATTACCATATAAACTATTGAATTTACAATTACAATGTAATCCTTAGATAAAAAATGATTTATTTTTGAAAACATATTTTATTACTAAGGTGTAAATAAAATTTTATTATAATTGTATAATAGATCTTTTATTAAATTAGTGAAAGAAATTATGAGGGCAAACAAAGGTATACCAAAAATAGTCATTTTACTGACTTATTCTAAGCAAACATTATTTTATATTAGAAAACTAACTCCTACATCACAAATGACATTGAAAGCATCTATTAACTTTTTAGAAATTGCGATGTGAAAAGAAATTTCAAAACACACACACACACATATATATATATATATATATATATATGTTACTTCTAAATTAAAAATTGTGTATATGATTCTAATTTCATTGCTACTATTTTTGAATCCTTGATACAAATCATAAAATCTATAATCCTTAAATCTCAACATTTTGCCTTGAAACCCTATAATTCAAATTATGCACTCTTAAATTCTTTAACCATCATATCTTAAACCATAAATCCTATGTCTTTACATTTAGAGCTTTGATTTGTAATCACTAATACATATTTTTTTTGGTTTCTATATTAACTTTAAAACTTGTGTGTAGCGTCTCTTTTAGAATGTTTGTTCTTTATTCTGGATTGTATTTTGTAGAAGTTATTTCCCATATCCATGATTTTAAATTCAAATCCATCTCTTTTTCTTTTCTTTTCTTTTTTTATTCCTTACATTGATCTCTACTTTCATTTTAGAATTTGTCCTTCCTCTTCTTTCATTCATTCATTCATTCATTTTTTTCTTTTTTTCTTTTTTCTTTTGTTGTTGTGTGTATATGTGTGTGGATTTTATAGGGTGTATGCATGGATTTAAAATTTTAAACTTTGAATCCTTAAACATTAAATTATAACTTCTTGAATTTGAGCTGCAGTATCTAAAATTCAAGATTCCTAAAATCAACCACAAGTTATAGGGCTGTGTCTTTTTACATGGACCCCAATTCCTTATCTATCATTATTGAACTTCAAACTTTTACTTTGAACCCTTGTGTTTGAACTCCAGTAGATTAACTATTATTTTTATGCTTTACACCATGATTGTGAATTTGGTATTTTCTTACTAAGTTTATATTATTTTATTATTAATCCTGTGGTGTTCATTTCATTAGCTTCGATACTAGGTCATGCAGCCATATACTTTACTTTGAGTTCTCAATTTAAATGTCTTAACTTTTGTCCTTGGTATATGGCCTTTAACCAAAATTCGACAATCTGTTTTCTTAACCCTAATTGGCAAATCTGTAATCAAACGATGTGTTCGGGTTTGTCAATGTGGGTTATGTGTCGTGCGAGTTGAACGTGTAGCTGTTGTCCTTGTCCATGCAAGGGATGTTTTATTTTAGTTTTAGGTTTACCGTGCGTGATTTGTTCTTGCTGAAATTATTTACATCGTTGAGTATTTTTGACTAATTGCGTAGTTTGCAAGATTTTTGAATTTTGTTTGAAATTTTTTAATCTCTCTGTCGTTATGGGTTTAGGTTTAACCTGTTCGACGTTACACACCTCCTGGGGTTTCGAGAAAGTAAGGTTTTGAATCACTCGTTGTAAACGATGGAATTATGTCGGAGGAAGAATGGACGAATTAGTGTCCAGCAGTTGGACAAGTGGGTGGTGTAAACTAAGAAATGGTTACTCACCCACATGCGACACCATCAGGAGCAGCGAAAGGAGAGAAGGCGTGGTAGAAATATGATGTGGAGAATATAATTTGGAACAGAAAGGAGAGAATGACGACAATATTATAATAATAATACTAATAATACGAATAAGGGGGTGCATCGGGGGCAGCAGCACGGGAAAGCGTGACGCAGCATCGCAAATAACGAGGGTCGGCGGCAGCACTTGCGCAACACAAAAAATCATATCACGGCAGAACGCACGCAAGCAGGGCGACGGAAGGGCAGGGAAGGGAAGGATCATCCTCGCCTTCCATTCAATTCTATCTCCCCCCCCCCCCCCCGCACTTGACCATGCTCCACCACTCTAGACAGTGTAGTTGACTAGACTCGAATCACAGCATGGCTTCCTACTGGCCCCTGGCCCTCCCACTCCCTTAAGCTTCTACTTCTTCGTCTTCCTCACTGGCTCCCAACTTATCCTCTGCTCTGGGAGTGTCTCTACAACCATCTTGCCCTGAACCCACCCACATCACTGCCATCGTTGTTTCTACCACCGCTGCCTCTACTTCCCATCTTCCTTTTTGTGCCACCACTGCATTGCCTTTCCCAATAGAGCGCCGCATCATCCCCCTCATCAATTCTGCGTCACTCTGTCGCTAGGGTTCGCCTGCTTTTCAGGTATTGCTCTTCTCCCTCAACCCTCACCTCCTCTCTTCTTCGTCTCGTGCTTGCTTACTCACACTCTATATCTCTCTTGTGCTGCTACCCTAAGTTCTGGTGCATCTGTTTACTGACGTCTTCTCAGGTCAACTGAAAATCGTTGCATTTATATTTGTACAATCATTTTACTGCACAGCATGTGGGCAAATGAGAGAGAATTTTGGTTTTTTCGCTTTCGCTAAGAGTTTTATACTTTTCTTTTCCATTTAAAGATACACTGCACATGAGACGTTGTAGCAAGCCTCGGATGTTCAACATCTTCACTACATTTCACCAGGGTTATGAGTATACCCAGCTCCTTTTTCTTGCAGGGTCAAGGTGATGTATTGCTCCAATTCTACATCTGCAAGCCTGTCGTGTCCTCCTATCTGCTTATGTTCTTATAGATAGCCGACTTTGATTCGCTGTGGCGATGCTATACTAACGCTAGGATGTTGTTAATGTTTTGTTGCTAGACCCCAGAAGTGCCGTCGTGTTTGAATACCCGAAGTATTTCTCCATGCCTATTGGCACAGCTTCCTGCGGCGATGTGTGCAATCTGATTTGGCAATGATGTTTGGTTCCGCCTTCGTTACTCCTGCTATTCAAGTGAGTTTGTGAGTGGTTGTGTGAGAGGAAACAGTATAGGACTGTTCAGGTATGGGTGTGCGTAGGAGGTGGCCTCGTCCTTTTCAAATTATATCCGAAACCCGATCCAGGTTTTCCCTCTGTCCTGGTCTATCGTTTTCATATTGCTGTCTAATGCTATTTCCTGCGAAGGTTTTAGGTAAATACAACTTATTTTACTATACGGGATATGTTCGACCGAGTGTGGCTATGTTTATAACGTTACTAGGTGGTTGTGCCGAAGTGTAGGCATGTTGCCCGAAGCCACCTTTAGCACACAGGGCATCCTGTTTTGTCTCCGAGACATTCAGTATAAGCAGTTATTGTTCCACGATGGCGAGCTTGAACGATGCATGATATTTGACGTTGTTCATAGTTTCTTTCGGTAGAATACAGGAAGTGTATAGTATCACCCTAGTGTTTACAACACATGTCGAGATGAGTTTTGATTTAAACGTATGAAATGCTTCAGGTGGACCAGTTGCAAGGGTGTGGAGACAGCGCGCAATTGAAGGCCATGAAGTACCAAGTTGTTCAGTTTGCCTTCGCAACGAAAGGAGCATGGCGGTATCTATACTAATGACTTAGGTAGGTATGCCGTATTGCGTACAAGGCTTGTGACAGTAGACTGAACGTCAACATATTCAAGTATTTCACTTTTTGCTTTGTGTTCTTCATCACAGAGCTCAGGTGTTTGGAAGCTAGCTCGGGGACAATGAAATTACTGACAGCTTATCGGTGTGATCCAGGCTGTGTCTATACACTCAGTATTTCTATGTGGTATTCTGGCAGTGTTCTGTTCTCAAAAGGGATGTTGAAGGATTTGAATTCATTTCGTACTTCTGGTCAACTAAGAGGCAGGTCATGGACTTCGTAGTATGGAAATGTCAAAATTGAGCAAATCTCCATCGTTGCTGCGGTCTCCCACCGTCAAGTCTGGAATCAATAGTCTTACTTCGTTGGATGAGTTGCATCGTGGTCACGAACCGAGCAAAAGCAGAACTTGCTGGCCTCAGACAGGTGGAAGCCGAGAAGGACGGTCCATTGGAGATGGATATGGATATTTGCGAGAGCGTCTCCAGCTGCTCGTTCCCCCCTCTATCATCATAGCCGTGCCTTTTGTATGGTGGTGCGTAAAGGCTGGTCCTTCTCATGGCCTGACGTGGCTTTTTATAGACATCGTACCCTGGTATTGGTTCAACGTGTCTGCCTTGTTCGTGTTGTTTGTTGCAGTTGTAGTGTCGGTGCATCTTGCTGTTCCTCACCTCTTTGGGTGGGCTACAGTAATTCCTTCATGGGGTGTTGTAAGAGATGCATGGGGACATAGCTGGAACTTTGTAAATAGTAGCTGCATACAGCCTTTAGGAGCTATACTGCAGCTGAGTGATAGGAAAGACGGTGGGTGGAAGGTTAGATCGCAGTCTCAGGGAACAAGATCACCTAGTTTCACCAAATCTAAGAAGAATCAGGTTTATGGAGAAGGAGTACAAACTTTCAGCAATGGGGACGTGTACGAAGGCGAGTTTTGTCGAGGAAAGTTTTCTGGAAGCGGAGTATATTATTTCTACAAAAGTGGCAGGTATGAAGGTGACTGGGTAGACGGTAAATATGACGGTTACGGTGTTGAGACCTGGGCACGTGGTAGCCGTTATCGAGGGCAATACCGCTTGGGTATGCGTGAAGGATATGGCATTTACCGTTTTTATACAGGGGATGTCTACTCAGGTCACTGGTCCAATGGTCAAAGCCATGGTTGCGGAATGCAGACTTGTGGTGACGGCAGTTGTTACGTTGGTGAATTCAAATGGGGGGTGAAACATGGTGTCGGTTTCTACCATTTCAGGTACCTCTAGCCTCAAAAGTTTTTGCTTAGGACTTCATCAATTTCTGACTTGGGGTTCAATCCACAGTATACATCAAACTTATTACTTCGGTAGCATATGCTTGGGGTAGTTCAATATAAATCTGTCTTGCCGTTTCAAATGCAATGGATTATTTAACTAAAAATTGCATTTAGCCCTGCTCTTTTGCCATTGAATTACATATTTTGAAATTACCTATGTTGTGATCGTGGTTCACTGGTCTGCGACCCTACTTTTTTCTCATTTTCCATGTGATTCCACTGAAAAGACAGTCAATAGATAGAATTAAAAATGCACTTTTCCTCCCTTGTCAGATGCACTTCCTTTTCAATATATGATAAACCATCTGTCATTGTGATTATTATGAAGCGGGTCTTAGGTATTTTCTTCAAATTTTCTGTTCGGAGAACTTGTTGCTCATTTCGCTGAAGTATGTAAATAAACATTAGGAAGACGGTGAGAGTACAATCTCAGTTTCTTTTGAGGATGCATTAGTCATGTTATCCATCTGCTTTGCCAGGAATGGAGATACGTATGCCGGAGATTATTTTGCGGACAAGATGCATGGGTACGGTGTTTACAAGTTTGCCAATGGTCATCGCTATGAAGGCTCATGGCACGACGGTCGGAAACAAGGGCTAGGTATCTACACTTTCCGCAACGGTGACACTCACGCAGGCCATTGGCATTTGGGTACCCTGGAGAGCAGAAGCACACAGGTCTCGAATTCATCATCCGCAGTGGCCACCAATCACTTCAAAGTCTTGAATGCTGTTCAGGTATTGCTCCATTGTCTTTATTTTTATTCTCTTTGTCTTTTGCTCGAATTACTGAAGCTTTCTTTTAAGCTTAGCACCAACCTTTGTCACTTCAGTTTAGAAAATAAACTATTGTGACGTTGGTTTGTGATATAAAATACAGTGTGATCTACATTCCATGCGAAGGCATTTTTGGTTATTCCCATAAGATAGGACAGATTGTTCATTCATGATTTTTGCAACTATTTGTTGGTCAACGCAGATTAATTCACGAGATTGATATTAGTTTTTACCATGCCCTTCGAATTTAGAGAAATGGCTTTGCAGCTTAGAAAGTCGCGTGTCGTTTACCTTGGGATTGACTTCTGTCATTGTGTTGATATCGATGCTCATGAAGGAAGCGAGAAAGGCAGCACAGAAAGGAATGGATGTGCAGAGGGTGGATGATAAAGTGAAAAAAGCTGTTGCACTCGCAAACCAGGCAGCCAATGCTGCACGTGTTGCTGCAGTGAAAGCTGTGCATCGCTGATCTTCACAACTACATCTGTTCATGGATATAGCGTAATGTTTTTTTAATCCTGGGCTGGGGACAATCTGGGAGTGATGACCGTAAGTGCAAGGGAGTCGGCTCACTTAGCAGGATTCATCCTCTGCTGCCTAGATATGATTACGTATGCACCACTTTGCTTGGTTGTAAAGTAGCTATATATTTGTTTGTCCACAAGAGTTTTCTGAAAGACAGAATGTGACCGGCCTCATTATCTTTGTTAAAATGATGACGAAGTGTACATTTTAAGACATCATTTAGGTTCTTCTAGCATGTATGGTGGACAGTTAAAACCTCTCTGCTCGTTCCCTAATTTAAGCTTTTTCTCAAGTTTCGTTTTCGTATATTCCAATTCCCTTGCATACAGTTTCTGTAGTTTAAATCGAATGTGTTATCATGGATACCTTAGTGACATTAAACAATCAATTTAATCAGTTGTGGAGCACAAACCCTACACTATTATAACTGTTCCGTGATCTTCCTGCTTTTAACGGGTCTATTGATACACTTCAGATTCCTTACGTCATGAAGAAATGCACACCTAATCGTCTGTATCAATCACCTGAACAAAGTGTAGAAGGTGAATACGCAATGACTTTCAGCTACAGTAGGTTATGATATGAATCACAGTTTTTGATTTTTGATTTTTCATAATCAACCATTCTGTAATAAAATTGATCTAAACAAGAAAAATCTTGTATTAAAACTTGTATAAAAAAACACCTAATTAATTGGGATTGGGTTGTAAGCTGCATTTGGATAGTTACATTAGATTGATCTTAAAAATTCTGGAGTGCAACTATTTTTGTGCATTGATTTACCAAGCCTTACTAACAATTATAACAATTGATGATACTTTCAAAAATTGAAAGAAATTTTTACAATTTTCAATTGTTACAACCCTAAACCCTAAACCCTAAAACCTGATTGACTTACAAGTTAATATGACATTTTTCTATCAATTTATAAATATTTTTCTTTAATTTATAATTTGTCACTGTTTCTATTTGTATTTATAATTCAGTTATTATATTTCTTTCACATAACTAAAAAGAATTGTTAAATTTCTTAAACTTCTGCAATAAATTTCTCTGCTTAAGGATGTAATTTATACTTTTTTGCATTTCGTTTTCTATTATTTTTATTTATAATATTCATAACTGCATTCTACATTCAATATGTGCATGTACTGTTTATTTTGTTGTGCTTATCAGAATGCACAATCTCTTGTAATTTGGTAGCCCATATTTCCCAAGACTTAAATCCTTTGTGACATTTTTTAGTTAAAAATATTAAGACATCAACATTTAATTATCAAAAGACTTGAGTTTACACAAAACCCACTTCACATATTACTTAAATACATCAAGATTCAATAAAAACAACAAAAGTGGGAAACATTTATCAATCAAACAAAAGATAGTGTAAACATAATAATATTAAATTTCCGACTTGTTTCAATAACATAAATTTTATAAAAAATTATCTTTATTTCAAGTTCATTTATATCTTATAAGAAATAATAAAAATTAAAAAAATATGTATTTATTATTATTCTACAAAAAGTTTTTTAATTCAATGCAAATTTAGGATTACAAGGGTGTACTTGGGATTTTGGAATTTTGAGTTGATGTGTTCTCCATTTTTGAGGTCTACAATTCCAATGGTGTGAATAACTTGTTCAACAAGTTCTTAGTTTGCAAGATATAGGGTAGTTTAAGTTTGTTTCTAGGATGGTTGACTTTTGTAATACAAGGGATATTTGAAAGTTTTGAAAAGATCATTAGGTCAATGTAGAGGTTGCCAATTGTAAGCATGTCATTGAATTGTTGTGGATGTGTATGGATTGGGCAATATTAAATATTTAGTATTTAAGATGTTTGAGTTGATGTATGCAATTGAGGAGAAATATTTGAGGTTTTGATTTGAATTACCTTCTTATTTGTGGAATCTATCTATCATGTGGTGTGAATAACTTGCTCTATAAGTTTTTCAATATTGAGATATATGGCCTTGGACTTAACACATGTTTGAGAGTTGAATTTTTGTGTGCTTCTTATTTTAGAAATTTTGAGTTGACTTATTTCCATATTTATAATACTTCTAATTTCCAACTGTTTGCTTGAAATCTTCATCAAATCAATGGTTTAGGATTAAGGGTTTAGGATTATATATATGTCTCTAAAAAATTAGCATACTTTTTTTGGGATTTTAAATTGACCTATTCCTACGATTTTCAAGGGTTGTGGTTTCAATGATAGAAATAACTTTACTTATGCTTCTTTCATTTGGTACATATAGATACTTTGACTTTTAAATGTAGAGTTGATTTTTCTTATTGGTGAGGAATTTTAATATTTTGATGTGACCTACCTTCATATTTTGATGCTCATATCTAAAGATTTATAAAATCCTACAAATATGCTAGGTTTAGGGTTAATGTGTGTCTCCAAAAACTAAGCATATTTTTTTTGGAATTTTGAGTTAACTTACCTCCCTTCTCCCCCTATTTTCAAGGATTGTGGTTCCAATGGTAGAATTCATTTTACTTATGTTTTTTTTGTTTAATAGATATAGATACTTTGATTTTTGATTGTAGAGTTGACTTTTTTTGTTGGTAAGGAATTTCAACATTTTGAAGTGATCTATCCTTCTATTTCAAAGTGTTGTGAATCTAATAGTGTATTTAGTTTATCCAAAAAATGTATGGTTTGGATAATATGGAGGTTTTAAAAATAAACTTTAGGATTGGTAAATTCTTATATTCTTAGAATTTTGAAATTCGGAAGTCACCTACCTCCCTATTATCAAGGGTTATGATTGCAACAACATAAAAATATTTACTCATGCAATTTCCATTTGAAAGATATGAAGAGTTTGACTTTGCACTTTTTATGCTGATTTTGGAATTTTAGGGTTTAGGATTTATAGTTTAGGGTTTGAGGTTTAGGGTTTAGGGTTTAGGGTTTAGGGTTTTTTAGGGTTTAGGGTTTTAGGGTTTAGGGTTTAGGGTTTAGGGTTGAGGGTTTAGGGTTTAGGGTTGAGGGTTTAGGGTTTAGGGTTTAGGGTTTAGGGTTTTTAGGGTTTAGGGTTTAGGGTTTAGGGTTTAGGGTTTAGGGTTTAGGGTTTAGGGTTTAGGTTTAGGGTTTAGGGTTTAGGGTTTAGGGTTTAGGGTTTAGGGTTTAGGGTTTAGGGTTTAGGGTTTAGGGTTTAGGGTTTAGGGTTTAGGGTTTAGGGTTTAGGGTTTAGGGTTTAGGGTTTAGGGTTTAGGTTTAGGGTTTAGGGTTTAGGGTTTAGGGTTTAGGGTTTAGGGTTTAGGGTTTAGGGTTTAGGGTTTAGGGTTTAGGGTTTAGGGTTTAGGGTTTAGGGTTTAGGGTTTAGGGTTTAGGGTTTAGGGTTTAGGGTTTAGGGTTTTAGGGTTTAGGGTTTAGGGTTTAGGGTTTAGGGTTTAGGGTTTAGGGTTTAGGGTTTAGGGTTTAGGGTTTTAGGGTTTAGGGTTTAGGGTTTTAGGGTTTAGCCTTTAGGGTTTTAGGCTTTACGGTCTAGGGTTTAGGGTTTAGGCTCTAGGGTTGAGGGTCTAGAGTTTAGGCGTTCTCCTCCCACTCCCAGTGGGATAGGGGTTTAGGGTTTAGGGTTTAGGGTTTAGGGTTTAGGGTTTAGGGTTTAGGGTTTAGGGTTTAGGGTTTAGGGTTTGGGGTCTTAGCGTTTAGGGTTTAGGGTTTAGGGTTTAGG